CCCCAAAACCCCAAAACCCCAAAACCCCATCTACTGTATGAAGCTATAAGTTCTGTATATTTAAAACAATTATTGGATATTTTCTTAATTTTATTCTTAGACTGGAATTATATCAATATTTTTAAATAATTCAGTAAAAGTTCCTAAGAATAATTAAATTTCGAAATACAATGGACTAAAACAAAGAGGGAGAAGGTAACTCCAATATGTAAAAAATATTTGGGGCTTCACGTAAACGCAATATTTTTAAAGCTTTATCTAAGAACAAGAGCACTAGTTGGATCGATAAGTTTTATCATACTTGGAAATCATAAGATATTTATGGGAAAAAAGTAGAATTTACTTATAAAGGGCATAAGAGATTTAAGACATTATTAGGGGCTACATTCACATTTATATAGAGAGTCATTATCACAATATTTATTGTTTACTAACTTTATATGCTTTATTCTCGAAAACACCCTATTACTCATAGTAAGCCTATGATACTGGATTATGATTAAATGGTTGAATTCAATCTTAGGGATAAGGGCTTTGATCTAGGGTTTAAACTAGAAGGCGATAATTTGGAGTTAATGGATATGACCTACGGAGAAATAATTGCTGAGTAACAAATAAATTACAAAAACTCTAGCACACTTTTTTTAAATGAACTTGATGACAAATATAGTACTAGTAAAAATCATCAATTAACAATAAATAAATGTGATAATAAGAATTTCAATCAGATTTCATCTAACGATTTTTCAAGATATGACATCAGCAGTTATTATTGTATTAATAGCGATTAATCATTCATCTTGGAAGGAGATGTAAGAAGCCAGGTTTATCAGAATATCCAAGTTTCTATAAAATTGTGCTAGAACTCTACAAATTTTACTTTTTGTAAAAGTAAAGAATAAATTTTAGAATTTTTCTAAGGCAAGAAGTTGAACTATATTTTTACAAACACAAATTTTGACTTTACTAGCTACGGAGCTGAACTTTAGTACTATATAGATGATTAGCATGAAATATTTATTGAGATGGATCGTAATCAAGTTGATGAATTAAGAGTAAAATAAGCATTTTCACAATAATGGGATAACGTTTTTACCTTTTGGGATTACTCTTATCTATTTTTCTTTTAACTTGATGGAATTTTTAATAAGAATTACCCTAGTTCAATAGTGTTGGACTAAAACAATGTTGCAGCCATTTCGATACATTTGGAAAGAAAATCTATAAAATATGTGAGATTAGTTGAAAATGTTTTTGACGTTTTGGAATCTATTGGTGGTTTTAAAGAATCTATTCACTCTATTATATTAATTATGATCATATTCTTCCAAGAGAGGTTGTTTAAGGGTTCGTTCATCAAGTAACTATACTAAGAGAAAGTACATACATAGTAAAAAAAGCAATATAATACATAGTAATCTATGAATGCGAGTAGTGCCTTATCTATGAAAACTAAGCCTAATTCTATTTATTAACTTAAGAAAGCTTTTTAAGAAAAACTTGCTCACATGAATAAGCAAGAGATTGGAAAGAGAAAATGTTCTGATATGAATGTCCTAGAAAGTATTATTACTAGGGATCATTTGCATGATAACATGATTACTAGAATTATAGATGAAATACTCTTAAGAAAATCCTTTTAATATGGCTATAGAATGATCATCGATTACCTTTTCAAGTTAATATGTTGTAAAAGCGTAAAAAGACTAAAAACAGATGGTGGTTTAAAATAACTTTTTAAGTATTTAAAAGGTAATGAAAGATTAGAATAAGAGTTAGATATTGTTAACCTACTAAAATCTATTAGACAAATGAAATCACTAATAGAATTCCTGTTGCCGCTTAGAAGAAGAATTTTACTTAAATTTTCTAAGAAAAACCTGATTTAAACATCTTCTTCATCATCTGATTCAGACTATTATCAAAATGATATTATCAATCACTTAAATGGGAAGAATTAGTTTAAGAAACTTTCTGCTATCGCAAAAATAAAGAGAATTCTCTTGCATTACAAGAATAACATAATGGATGATAATGATAAAGTGCTAATCAAAGGAATTTTTATTAAAAGAGCAAAAGATTTTCATGATGATATTTTGAGTTCCCCAATGATGAGCATAGCTAAAATAAAATGAAATTCAGATGATGATGAAGATAATGATGAGTCTGTCAAAAGCTCATCAAATAGAGTAAGCATTTATTCCTAGCAAAATTTTTTGAAGTCCTAGCATGACATTTCTTAAATTGATTAAACTCCTTAGATCATACTGAACAATAATTATGAGCCTGAAACTAAAACTAAAGAGATTAAATTATTTAAGAAAAAAAGTAAAAGAATCTCAGCTTTATCAAAAGCAACAAATGTAATTGAAGAATATAAAAGCAATTATAGAAATTAAACAGAACATAGAAGCTCGAAAACTAAAACTGATCATTACAGAAGTCAGTCAATAGATAAGACCAGTGCATTCTAAAAAAGATCAAAAAAAGATCAAGATAACAATTCAATGGGATTATCTCTAGGTATTGATGATTTGGAATTCAATTGCTCCTAATTAGACCATGAAAAACCAACAATTATCATTGGAAAACCATGAAAAACTTTCCAATATTAAATATTATCTGGACAATTTAAGAATATTAGATAAATTATATTTAAATTTTATTAATTTCATAGTTTCTATCTTTTGAGTCCTATGGGGTTTTGGGGTTTTGGGG